AGAAGTATCCTAAGCTCCCAATTTTACTAAAAATAATGGAACCTAAGGCAACTAAGAACTCACATGCAAGTACACCAGGGAAAGCCCAAATGTAAGGATGGTAGAGAGGGCTACAAGTGCAATAGTAAAAGAGACTCATGTACAAAGTACACCAAAGAAAACCCAAATGCAAGGGATGGTAGAGAGACAAGTGCAACAATAAAAGAGACTCACATGCAAGTACACCAAAGAAAACCCAAATGCAAGGAGAGAAAGCAATAAGTGCAACGATAAAAGAGAAGGCATAGTAAAAGAGCAAGTTGGCACGCCCCCAACAATGGAAGACCAAAGCATTCATTGTCACTGCCAAATCAGATACAAAATTTCGAAGAACAATAACCCGACAACATATTCAAGCGATTTTATTAAATAAAACAAATTTTGAAGAACAACAAATTCATTGTCAATGCCAAATCAAATTCAACAGATTGTCAATCCCAAATCAAATACATAAGACTCATTGTCAATGTTAAATCAAATAACTCAATGCCAATTAAATACAACAGATTCATTGTCAATGCCAAATCAAATACAACAAATTTCAAAAAACAATAACCCAACAACATATTCGAGCGATTTTATTAAATAAATATATTATGTTTTATATGAAATAAAATAAATAAAAATTTACTTTAGATGGGGCTGATTTGGGGTAAAGTAAAAATCGAAATATAGCTATCGGGTTTGGGCTGGGACAGAGATTTTGAGAGCCCAATGATATCTTTCGTAGAGAGTGACGGAGAGAGCTCGGGCCTTAGTTTGGGCGTTCCTTCGAAGAGAGAGAAGGAGAGAGCTTCAACTCACAAGAGCGAGTGTGAGAAGAGGGGGCTCGGGCCGGAGAGAGAAAGCGTGAGAGGAGGGGGCTCGGGCCGCAGAGAGAAAGCGAGAGATGGAGAGGAGCTGGGGCCGTGAGGGAGAAGGAGGGGGAAAAGCAAAGCGTTCGGGTGAAAAAAAATTAACACAGAAGGCGTAGAGAAGGGGTATGAAGATAAATGGGTATTTTCGATTCTTTTTGACTTTTTTTTTGGTTGGAGGGGTTTTTGCAAAGATAACTCGTTGAAGGGAAAAAGATGAGAGAGAAAAGTTAGAACGGGGTAAGTTGAGTGAAAAGTATATTTTGGGGTGGCTTTTGTAATTTTCCCTAATTTATATATATCCTATACTTATATATATTGGGTTGGGTTAGGTTGACCTTGCCCTAGACTCGATCCGATAGGAACCGAGCCGGACTTGTACTTGACCCTAGACCGGTCAAAGTTCAACGGATCTAGACCGGACCTACCGAGTCCATTATCTAGGTCTAGACCTAGACCTGGTCGGGCCAACCGGTTGAGTAACAGGTCAAACCCATTTCCCACCCCTAGTCTCATATTCATGGAGCTTAGATTCACTAAGTTGAGTAGGGTTATGCTTGATGATCTTTTCACCACTATTTTAGGTGCAATTTGCAATCAGTTTGAAGGGCCATTGCATCTAAGTTTATGGAAGGGTGCATCTAGATGGTTAACAATTGAAACTTTATTTTCTAGAAAATCTATTTTGCAAGAAATATATATTATAGAAAATAGATTTTTTCGGACCTCCTGATTTCTCAGTGCCGTGGGGCACTTAGAAACTTTGTCTATCAAATTATGTAACATCTTCCATTAACCTTAGGTCATAAATACAATACTATAAGATTTATTCATTCATTTTCTCATGTTTATTTTTTGTATAGTTCTATAGTATGAAGTTTACATAGATTTTGTATAACTAAATTTAGGAAAGCATGGGGATGTAGTTGCTTCTGTTTGGTTTAAAGAAATAATCTTAGAATTGAATGGGTAGTTTGGGCCCTTAGATATGCAAAAATTGTTTTAACATATGCAAGATCTATGACAAGCTAGGCTATTTGGATGCATTTTGAGGCCCCAAATCCTGGTTTTGCATGTCCCCATTAGGGTTGAACCTGAATTCAAACCCGAATGGTATTCATGTCCAAGTTTTAGACCCGGACTTGACTTTTTCGGATCCAAAATTTGGACCCATACACGAACCTAAGGTATGGTCTACCCGTTGGGTCCCGAGTCTGATCGGGTCCATTGCCACCCCTAGTCCCAAATCGTGCATACACATTTGAGCTAAAGTTCTGGACTTAGTTCTTCCATTCCTTATGCCAAACATAACCATTTTTTTCCTAAACTAGGCTATACAAAATTACAAAGTATGTAAATTTCATATTACAAAATTATACATACAAAATACAAATGGGAAAATGAATTAGTAAAGGATGTGGGTTATATAAGATTGCAATCTTAAACTATCAAAGTAAAGTGCATCTCCAAACGGTCATGAGATACAATTTTGTTATCGAAAATTTTTAAGTTGGTGCAAGAATCTATTTTTATATCTAATTATAAAATTTTAAACTAAAAAAATGTTTCAAATCATGCATACCTACACACACGTGAAAATCTTGAAAATAGATGGTCCAAATAATGTGCAGCAAGATGTACTATTTTTAGGATTTGAAATCTCTTGTTTTTTGTCCATAGCTATAAACTTGATGTTGAGATGATCAATTAGATATTTTTTCAACATCAAAATAAACTTTTTCAAAGGATTTTAAAGGTACACCTTAATTCTACATTTAGTTTTATATTTTAAGTGTCAACCTTATATAAACTTTTTCTATTAATAAATTTTAGAAAATTGTTTCATGCGGTGGGGATCGCATTTCTACATTTCTGGTCCTCGAGTTATAAAGCATTCATCTTAAAGATGGACGCAAATAGGTGGTCCATCTAAAAACAATTGAAACTAACGGTCCAAATGTTTTCTTAATAGAATTATTTATTTTAATTTTCAAATTTTATTTATTTTTTCATATTCATGATTTCCATGTTAGAGATTACATGTCCTTCAAAATTAGGCTAAGAAATGCATCTCAAAAATAGATTTTTAAGAGGTGACTCATTTCTACATGGACTCATAGAAATTGTGTCCATAAATTTTATAGCATAGTTTATTTTCTAAAATTAGTGGAAAAAGTTAACATAATTTAAAATACATATTTTTTAAGTTCCCCTCATTGCTAAGAAGTCAGGAGCACCAGGACTTAGGGGTAGACTCGATCCAGGTCCAAGTATTGGTCCAAAAATTGTACATGGCGGGTCGGGTCTAGGTCAAAATCTTGAACACACTATCGGAACCGGCCAGTGGCCTGTTCCAGTTTTGGGCAGTTAGGATGATCAACAGGTATTTTTAAAAAAAAAAATTCAAAAAATGTATATAAATTTCCAAAAATAAGGAATTTGATTTGTAATGCATTTTTAAATATACTTTACATTATGATAAAGACTAAAATTGTTTTGGTCATTAATACGCACTTTTATATTTTGCAATCTTTTTTAGAAAATTTTAAAAATAGCCTTTGTAAAATATAAAATGCGTTAAAATCCATTTTTTTCATTAATTTTCAACTTCATTTGAATGTGTTTTGTTTTAATAATTCTTTATATGCTTTCCATAGTTTATTATTATTATTTTTTTCAATACTTTTTTGATCGCTCGGGACTTGCCCGGTTAGAGCGGTCGAACCGACAGGTTTGTCACTTAGGCTGGTTAAACCACTTCAAGGCCCATGTCCGGTTAACCGTTCCTGTTTGATTTTACGAACACTGGTAAAGATACAGTTTAACTAATATACACCGTCCATACATTTCGACGGTCCTGATCGCGTAGTAAAGAAAATGATAAAATAGGTGATCGCTGGTAGCCAATTTTGCTTACCTCCCTTTGCCACACTAGGCTTGGAGACTAGACAGGAGGAAGAGGAAGTTAGAGAGAGAAAGTGATGACAGTTGGATTAAGAGAGAAGAAAAAGAGATGTTCAGGAATTTAGAGAGAGAAAAAGGAGAGAGTTGGGATGAGTAGAGAGAGAAGAGGAGGAGAAGTTTAGACTGGAGGCTTTGGAGCAACGGGAGAAAGAGGAATTAAGAGAAACAAATAGGGGAGAGTTGGGTTGAGTAGAGAAAGAAGAGGAAAAGAAGTTCAATTAGGGGTTATAGGGAGTGAGTCATAAGCTTGAGTTGTAAGTTATTGATTCTCAAAACCTTCATCAAAATTTCTTGAGCATCATCTTCAGGTAAGGATGCATCCAATTGGTTTTAGCATGACAATCCTTTGTAGATCCACCATGATGCCCATTTCAAACAAAAAGAAAACAATTTCAGTGAGGTTTTTGCATATAGACTTAATGTTATTGAACCCTAAATCACCCATCTGCCATTCTTTAATTTTCTCTTTCAAATCAGAACCAAACAATCTAATAATTGATTCAAATTGTTCATATTTCATCTATTTAGGAAAAACTTTAGAGTCATTTTCCGGATTAATAGAAAAATTTGTAGAAATTGAGGCACAATTTTTTCCATATATACTATGTTATATATCCAAAAACCTCCACCCTACTTTCTTCATGGCATAGCAAGCATTTTTTGGGCATTCCTTTTTGCATAGGGTACCTATCAGAGAGGGAGAGGGAAGGACGATGGTGAAAATAGCAAGCACAAGATGAAAAATTAGACAGGGACGAGAGGGTAAAGAGAGAGAACTCCATATGCGAAATTTTTGTAGGGAAATGGTTTGTAGAAAGAGAAATGGTGGGAACTAAAGAAAAAATAAAAGAAAACAAAGGAAATGCCGAAAATGAATTACTTTTTTAAAGTTTAGATCAACATCTCAACCAGCTAATTTATTAGAAGATTGATGAGGATGCATCCTAAGGTGTTATAATAAGGTATTCAAACTTTTCTCAACACTATATGGATCCAAAAATTGTACTTGGCCGGTCGGGTTTTGGGTAAAGTAATATTTTTCGCGTCGTATGAAATATATTTAAATATAATTAAATATATTTTGAATTTTTATCGGGTCTAGGTCCCACGCTATATTTTCCAGGTCCGGGTCTGCGTCCGTTGCCACCCGTCAAAGACATCTGACATAACCAATAAGAAGGAAGAAGGATTACGCTGAATGAAGTAGCACAGTGGCAAGAGAGGGTTAAGCCCTAACCCTGAATCGCTATCTTTCGTCCTATGTCTAACCCTTTTTCCATTTTCGCCATTGTTCCCATCCTCGTCTGTAGCTCTATCAGCGTGTTTTTCTGATATTTATTTTGCACATCGTATTGACTATGTACTCTGCAGGTAAAGCACTCTATTGTTGATTATTACGGTTTGAGGCTTGTGGTCTCCATATCAGCAGAGGTGTCTTGATTCATTCGTGATTTCAGCAGGTATTTCTCCGTTGCATTTTCTTTACTCTAGTACCTTTTGTTTTCAATTTCTTCCATTCTTGCTAATGGGGGTTGGTTTTTCCTGGTTTTTGCTCCTAATGGATTCTTACAACCTAATTTAAAAAATATATGTTGAAACTTGAAAGGGATTGAATAGAAGGGATTTTGGGCCATCTAGGAGCTTGAATCTTCGTCTCAAGCTCCATCTCCATGATGAGAGAGAGAGATAGAATGAGCCCTTGTTTTCCTGTGTTTATTTTGTGTGTGTGAAAATAATTCGTCTCAGGCTCCTTCTCTTCTTCACGATTTTTAGCTAACGAGAGAGAGAGAGAGAGAGAGAGAGAGAGAGAGAGAGAGAG